TACATTTTTCTTGACAACAATGGCTGGAGAAGAATGGGAAAATCTCTACAGGAGAGTCTAAACCAAAGGAATCGTACTTAAAAGAAGTAAAGAAGAATCTTAGATCTTTCTTGGACATGTCCGTTATCTTTTTATCTTCAAAACCCTTGGTGACAAGAAATCCATTTCCCCTGATGTCTAGATCTTCAAGACAGATGGGAAGTTTACAGAAGAAATTCCAAGCTTCATTACTAACAGTCCCAAAGAAAAAGGGAGGAACATATTCTAGAAGCTCCCATAAAGTGCCTGAGCTCTGCAGAACGGTTGGTAAGGACATGGCCCTAGGAACCCATGAGGCCTAACTCTACATCTGCGCTTCAACCCTGCTCCCTAATGATCCCAAGAGATGTGCCTGCCTCACCCCCCAGGCTGGGAGCTTCCCAAAGACAGGCACTGCATCTTACTCCTGTTTGTGACCAAGGACCAGCCTGGGGGGCAATGAAGAGCTAATGCTACCCACTGATGAAACATCAATGACGCTGCCATCAAAAAAGAAGGAAAAGTCAATCTAGGGAAGTAAACGCCCTTTCGGGACCATCTCTGCTTTGACTCACATCTCCCATGAATCACCTCCTAGAACCATCAACTCTACTGCTCCTGGGGGTGGAAAAACCGTGAGAGAAGGAGGATGGAAGATGAAGCCTGGCCACCTAGAAGGTCCTCAATAAACACATGCTGAAGTTGTTGGAATTGTCCATCTGTCCCTCGAGGTCCTCTCCAGACTCTCCAGGCTAAAACTCCTCCAGAAATTAAATGTTAGAAGAGTCTGCCTCCTCTAAAGAACCCATGTTATCTCCCACTAGCCCTCTATCCTGAGCTACAGTGGTGCCCCGTACTATGCACGCTCCATCCAGGACTTCCCAAGTCACACCTACCACTTTATTTATAAACACTATACTGAACAGCTGAATCCTCTCTGTAGACTGACGTTCTGTTCAATATTTATGGAGCTCCTACCGGACGCTGGAATCATGTTAGGCAATTAATACACCATTAAAAAGGTATCATCTACAGTTCCCTCGAGGAGCTCCCAGCCTGGTGTTCTATTACATTTGCTTTGGAAGCAGGTAATTCCTGCCCAGAGGCGCTGGCTCCCTTCCGCTGTAACTAAGAGTGTGGGGTGTGCCCCTCCCAGCGCTGCTGCAAACAGCTCGTGCCACACCCTCCCTCTTCTCTACTGCTTGTTTTCCTCCTGCTACCCATTCTCTCCACTGGGACCAGGAGCGGTCCCTACTCCTCTGCCAGATCCGCCTTTGGTTTCTTACATGAGCATGGCCTTCTGGAGCAGGCAGACAGAATACAGGTTTGTGCTGCTGGACGGCCTGCGTAATTCGAATCCAGCCCTGCTTCCTACCAAGCCGAGAAATCTTGGGCACCTTACTCAGTTTCTCAAAGCTCCATCTGGGAACGGCATCCTCCTCGAGAAAGGCTGCTGAGGATCATGTGAGTTGATCTCCGTGTAAGCCTTAGCGCAGTGCTTGGACATAAGTGTGCACCTGACAGCTAGCTGCCCATATCGCAGTGGCTGTTGGGTAATTCGTGCTTTTATATTCAGGTTTCTCCCCTGCCAGATGAACCTACACCTGCCAGCATTTTGCTTTCCTTCTCGTTTTCAAGGGTGTCAGAACAATCTCTCCATCTCCAGTCCTTGGTCCCGATGCTCTCCAGCCACTGAAAGATAGCTTACAACGTTGACTTTGGGTACTGAGCTGTCGGCAGTGTGGGTGTCGGGTCCCTGAGCACTCATGTGTCATGTGCAGCATATGTGTGTGCAGGTGGACGAGGTGGTTTTAAGGCTCTGAGAGACAACTAGAGAAAGAATGTTCAGGAACTCCTTGTTCATTGGGATGAATCACAAAAGAGTAATTCAACCGTGGGGGTTCTTTGAATAGTCCTATTACATAAAATGAAATGCCTCTTCTTCTGCCCTTCTGAAACGGAAGGAAGTGCATCAACTCTTCCCCCACATGCTTTCATTACTCCAGTCGACATGTGTTTAGAACTCCTTGGTAAAAACCAACCACTGACAAAATGACAGATGAGCATCACAAAGAATGTTGTAAAGTGCTTGATTACTGCTAACCTAAAGGGTTCAGCAAAGGTCTTGGCGTAATGGCATGCTATTAATACTCAAAGAGGAAAGATGACTGGCCACTCACTCTGCCATCAGAAAATAATGAAAAATCAGCCTGGGGCAGTAAATGCAGAAGGAGAACATCTCTGCTTCAAGCTCACATCTCTCTCAGCTCCTCAACAACAGCCACCCGCTCTACTACTGGGTAAGGGAGTCATGGAGGACCAGACAGGAAGTTAAGGCTGACAAGAGATCCTTACACCCCAACCGCCACTCCCTCTGATGTGACGGCTAACAAGAACAACAATCCCAGTGAACCGGACAGTAACTTCGCATCACGCCGTCGTCTTCCCTGCATATCACTCAAGTCTGTGCAGTGAGACAGTGAGACTCTTGTCACCACCAAAGCGGGTGGGTGGCACGGCCACGACACGGCCTCCAAGGCCCTGTCATCTGGCCCACCAACTTCAGCAGCCACAGAGCCACCGCTCTCCCTGTCTGCTCTGGGACAAACCTGGGGTCTCCTTTCCGGTCCTCGAACCTGCCAACTCTTTCCCTGTGCAGGACCTTTGTCCTTGACATCCCCTATGCAGAAAGCAGGGACTCAAAAAACACTCCATCAACCACCCCACCTCCCACCCAACCAATGAACTATGGTGCTTTGTTCAGTGGGTCAAGTGGCCAGCCACAGTCTTCTTGAACCCTCCAGAGCTGGAGTTACTGATGAGCAGATCAGTCTTCTAGCTGATAGAACCTACATGTAGAACACTGCCCCCTCCTACCCCTGCCCAGTGCTCAGCATGCTCACTGGAGCCCCGGGACATGAGCACCAGCCTCTAAAGTATGTGCAGGTCTGACAAAGTCCTTACAACTGAACACCTTGCCCTGGGTTTCCTGAAGGAACACAGGCTACCAACCTACTTTCACTCTGCTAAGAACCCTGCCACCCTCCCTAGTTCATCAGTTCTTCATTCAACAAACCGGAGACATCCATGTCCTAGGAGAACTTAAAATACTTGCATTCAAGGGTTATTTAGCATTTACCATTGGCCAAGAAATGGTAGCTAAGTATACACAGATGTAAAAGACATGGTCTCTGCCCTCCAGGGACCTGAGGTCCTAGAGGAGACAAACACACAGGCTGACACAACCCTGAGGGTACACGGCCAATTCTCCTCTCTCCACCCAGGCTTTCTGAGAATGGAATAATGGCCCAGCACCTGGCACCACCACCAGCCAACTCTGGTCAATCACCTCACTGCATGAGACTGCAAGAATGGGCACTAGGGTGAGGATAGGCCCTGAGGGGACAGTCCCTGCCCCAACCTCCAGGCACTTCCACCCTGGTTTATAACTCTTGCCCTATCAGCCTATTATGCTAAGACCCCAGCTCATCCCCCCTTTGAGCTCCCTTCATTTAGAATTCAAACTGTTTCTCACCACCCTTCTTTAGAGGTCATTAGGAACCAGGTGAAACAGACCACAAGATGGTCAGCCTGAACCAGGAATAAGCTAGGGGGCTCCTCCTCAAAGGGCCCAGCTTCTAAAACCTACCCTGAGGTCAGGCATGTCTCCATGGCAATGGCGGTGTTTTTCTGACTCCAAAAATAAAATGTACTGTAGAATATTCACAAAGCACTGCAAGTATAATCATATACTTATATGCATGTATGTATACAAAAAACAGTATTCGTAATAAATACCAACATCACGTGACCACAACATATACACACACCTACACATATGTATTTTATCTATTAGTTGCCTATTTGAAAACTTGGCCTTCCAGCTTTACCACTGAGTATGGTGGTAATTAATGATTTCTGATAAAAAAAAACACACACACACACACACATACACTTTATACTATCAAAGAAGTACCCTTCTTCTTGATCAAGAGTGTTTTTATCATGGAGTTGTTAAATTACTCTGTTGTGTACCTAAAACTAATGTAACATTGTGTGTCAACTCTACTTCAATAAAAAGTATTTTCGTTAGATATGGATGATGAATGTTTGGTACCAAACAAGATCTGTATCTGGTGTTTAGCCTGTAGTCTATCAGTAAGCTGACTCGATGAATTTCCTAACAGGAAGTCATCCTTGAGATCCTAAATTAATCCCAATTTCACGTGGATTGGTCCTTTCATATACAACTGGGTTTGACTGGGTGATACCTTTCTAGAATTTTTATGCATTGATGCACAACTGAGACAAGTCTGTAGTTTCTTTTTCGGCTGTCTTTGTCAGCTTCTGTGACACTGGAGTAACGCAGACTGGAACCAAGATACAGAGATACAGAGATACATAAAGATAGAGAGAAGGCTTTAAGGAAGTACAAAGAGCAAAGGGCTGTTTGTACGTTCCTTGAAAGGCTTCCTACAAACAACTAGGAAACCATCCATCCAGGTTTGCTACCTCCTAGGGCACCTCCTTTATTTTTACAACTTTCTTCCGGTTTTTGGATGCGCTCCAGATAAGTAGGCTGCATCGTCAATTAATTGTTATAATAAACATTATCCTAAGAAATAGTCCATGTCATCCACATTTGCACATTTATCAGCATCAAAGTTGTTCGTGATGGTCTCTCCCGCTTTTAATCTCCTCCAAATCCAAAAGTAGATTTTTCCTATTTTTAACATGACATATTTGTGTTTTCTCTATTTCCTTGCCATAGGCACCAAAAGTGTCTAATTTAAGACTTCTGAAGAACCGGCTCTTAGTTTTCTTCAACAAGTACAATGCTTTTACCATTTTGTGTTTTGTCTTGTTGGCAGTGGGAGGGGAGTAGCGTCAGATTGTGCTGCTAACATCTGCATAAGAGGCTGGCCCTGTCCCCGCAATGTCCCCAGGGCAGCCAAAGTAAACGCAGAGGCCTCCAGCCTTACCTCGATGAGCTTTCTTTCGTAGGAGCTCGCCAGCTCCTCAGCCACTTCGCCCGGCTTCTGCTCGGTGACTGCAACTTCTCCATCAACGTTCCAAAGATTTGGTACAACTTTAGGGAAAGAAAGAAACCCCATAAACGTTTTAGCAGTAATTGAAAGTTATCCTCCCAGTTAAAATTTTTTTCTTCTTGCCGATGGCTTCTCCAAAGAGAAGCTTGTTTTAGGGCAAGGGGGGAGGGGGGGGTGTTGGCCCAGGGATCACACCACAACATTTTCACAGGAGTACGATGAAGTGAATAATAAGCTGTATTTAAAAATGGTGGGGCGCCTGGGTGGCTCAGTCGTTGAACATCTGCCTTCGGCTCAGGTCATGGTCCGAGGGTCCTGGGATTGAGCCCTGCAGGGCCTGCTTCTCCCTCTCCCACTCCCCCTGCTTGTGCTCCCTCACTCGCTGTGTCTCTCTCTCTCTGTCAAATAAATAAATAAATAAATCTTAAAAAAAAAAAAAAACAACGAAAACGGAACAACAGGGGCACCTGGGTGGCTCAGTCGTTAAGCGTCTGCCTTTGGCTCAGGTCATGATCCCAGGGTCCTGGGATCGAGCCGCACATCGGGCTCCCTGCACAGCGGGAAGCCTGCTTCTCCCTCTCCCACTCCCGCTGCTTGTGTTCCCTCTCTCACTGTCTCTCTCTCTGTCAAATAAATAAATAAAATCTTTAAAAATAAAAACGGAACAACAGTCACAGAGACAGATGCACCTGAGTCTGGGGAATAATCTTGTTACTACTTCCCGTTCGGGGGCAAAACAGACAACACGTTGACAAAAAGAGCCTGCGCTTCCGTCTTTTAGCATGGTCACATTTCTTTTTCTCTAACAAAAAAGTTCCCCAGGGCAGCATCATCTGCCTACAGCTCAACGTCAGTGGCAGAGGGGGTCAGAGTACAGGAAGAGCCGCTAAGAATTGCCATTTATAAACCGTATGTAGAGCGGAAGCTAGGCAGCTTTGGGAAAAGCTCTGAAATCGATGCATAATGACAATGCAAGGACATCCTAACAAGAGACTGGCTTCCAGATCAATGCAAGAATTAGTAGCACAGTAGATACCAGTGGGTGTTGTTCCTCCTTTCAGGGACACGTCCATAAATGCTCACTTTGTGGGGAAGAGCAGGAAGTTAGGACTGGGAATGAGCAGGCGAATTCCAAGAAAATCAGGGGAACATGGGCAGGAAGGAAATCCCCCAATGGCGTGTATCAGGAATACAGATTCGCCCCAAAGTCTGAAAACAAACATCGACTAAGCAGATTTTGTTCTCTGTGTGTTCCGGGACGGCAAAGTCGAGGATGCCCCCCAGGGCAGGAGCAGATGGTAATGAAGGCCAGCCCCCCGGCAACTGGGATTTGAGAGCCTGGGGAGAATGGGCAAGTGGGCAAAGGCTGAGCAAAAATGGGGGTCCTGCACCTGCGCTGCCTGCATCTGTGCCGTCAGCCCCCTGCCTAAGCCACAGCAAGCTCGAGCCCCAGAGGCAGCACAGCCCTGAATGACGACACCCAACACGCTGGAATGAACCCGAAGATGCTCCCATCCCAGGAGTCACAACGGCTCCAGCCACCGCTGCAGACGGTGACCCAGTAACCCTCCGCAACCTGAAATAGGTATTAAGAGAAAACTTCCAGGCTTCCAGTTAAAGGTGACAGACTGAATGCATTAATTTACATTCACATGCTCTCAGAGTCCCATTCAAATGCCCATTTTAAAAAATTCTAGTAGCACCACCCTTGAGAAAAACAAGAATGAGAGAGGAAACCAGATGACAAAATTCAAGAAGCTGAGAAGCAGGCAGATCACTGGTGAGGAGCGTGACAGGCCTGAGAAAGCTTCCTTCTTGGCTGTAATGGGGTCAGAGGAACAATCAACCTGATTAACTTGCCAACGGCTGATAAACCGCTAATACGAGACACTTCCAGAACTGGGGGTAAGCATGGGGCTGGCAGTGAAGAAATACAAAGTCTGTTTAAGCAGCAATCTGCAGGAAACTAGGGGTTTATTCTCTGAAGAAGGTAAATCTGTAGCTCAGACCAAGGGGAAGGTCGGGGTATCCAGCGGGAAATAGAAGAAATAATACTGAACTTCTTCCATTCTTTGCCCATTCCCAGAGAAGCCAGCAGCCAACATAGACCTACCTCTAAGCAGGGAGTAAAAAATATTGTCCTGGGAATCTAAGAGACTGAAGAAAAAGCCCTCAAGGGACCCATGTGAGGGGCTTTCCAGTGAAATGGCAGAGCCGGCTCGCCCCACCAGGAGCCGAGTACTGCGCACCATTAGCTGTTCCGTGTCCCACTCCTACTTGTGTGGGGCCGGCCGGAAGGCACCTCACAGCTGAGACAAGCTCTTAAGATGGAAAACAGGGACCAGAATCAACAGACAGAGAAAACAACTTTTAAGGAAAAGACCCCCAGGTTAGGGAAAAAGAAGACTCAAAAAGCAAACTATCAGTAATAATCCCAGAGAGAGAAGAAGATGGTACAGTTGAAAACAGGAACAAGGGGGTATTTAAAAAGAAGAAAAAGCAGAACACATAAAGGGGAAAAAAAAAAAGCTCTTTTGTAAAGCAAAACTGTGACAAAAGAAATGGAACACTGGATACAAAGCAGAGAAGGTAAGAAAATTTCCAGAAAACAGAGCCAAAGGATAACAAAAAGGAAAACAAAAAAGGAAATGGAGAGTTACCTTTGAGAAGAACCCAAGAAGGGGGGAGGGGGGGCCGGTCAGAGACAAGAAAATCAAAGACCTAATTCAAGAAAACGCCCCAGAACCAAGAGACAGGCATGTGGGGACGAAGGAGCTTGCTGAGCACACCTCGCAGGGGAGGGGGGCCACGCTCAGACACCTCCCAGGGGATTTCAGAACACAAGGGACAAGAGGAAGAGGACACTACCTTTTGGAGTGGAGGGAGAACTTTCACAAAGGATAGACAATTAGAAATGACACAGCATCTCTGAACAGCAACACAGCAAGCTAGAAAGCAAATAAGTGATCCTGTCAACATCCTAAATTATGTACCAAGCCAAGCCCTCTGGTAAGAAGGTGAAAACATCCTCAGACACGCCACCTTTCAAAAATCTTAACCTGGCCCCCACCCAAAACAGGAGGAGAAGAAATCTAAGAAAAAAGCAGAGCTTCTAGGAAATAGAGGATACAACACAGAAGTGAGAAAATTATTAATAATAACCAAAAAGTGGACAGAACCCACACAGCCATCACAGATGCGGCTGCACCCTGAAAGCATCCTGCAAAGGGAAAGATGCCCGGACAGACACGAAAGGCCACAGACAGCAGGATCCCACTTACACACAATGTCAAAAACACCTACTGGTTTCCAGGGACCAGGAGGAAGGAGGGATGGGGTGCTAATGGGTATAGGGCTCCTCTTTGGGGTGATGAAACACGCTGGATTCAGAGAGAGGTGAAGACCGTGTACTTCCTAAGCATGAACTGTATGGCACATGAATTTTCTCTGAATAAAGGAGCAGCAGTGGGAGTAGCAAACTGGAGGAAACAGGCCCTCAGAGCAGCCAGGCTTCCTCCAGCCACAACGGGTCCCCGCACCACAGGAGAGACAGTCTCAGGATCAAATGGACAGGTGCCCAGTTTTTAACATACAGCAATCTCCATGAGACAGCACTTGCATTTGGGTTAGTAAGGAGTTCACACAACACGAACCAATTTTTTTTTTTTCCAGATATTAACTCAAAAGGAATTTTAAAGTTGTGTGAAAATAATGATCATGTACCTTACAGCTCAGCTGGATAGCATTTTCAGAGTCCTAATAATGTATTCATGGCCCAGGAATCAAACCAGAAAGATGGCGTGTCTGTGCTGGGGGTCGGCGGGGAGAGGGGAGCTAAGGGGGTGGAGGGCTGGAAAAGCTCTCCTTCCCGTTCCACAGTGAGGAATCAAGGGAGAACACGTCCAGCTGAGCAATCAACAAGCAGCGGGAGACCGTACTATTCAGAGGCATCAAGGCAACTCCCAGAACAATCCGTTAAAAGGTTTGAAGCAGCTGCTTGTGGGGAGAGGGAAATGGCAGAGGGTGTGGTGGCTAGAAGCGCCAGGTCTTCCATGGTAAGGCTACGTGCAAACGCTGGATTTCAACAACAAACCACCGAAGCTGATCTTAAGTAAGAAAACAGCACGTGAGAGGAGGCTCCACTTAGACAAGTTGGACCAGCGGTAGCAGTGCCTGCCAAGGCAGGGCAGACACCCCCAGCACGAAGCTGGATGTGGCTGATTAGCAGAGCCCGGCGCTAGGACACATCTAAGGCGTGATGGATGTGTGAACAGCATGGCCTGCTGGTGCGCTCCCAATGACCTGATCTTTGCATGAGTGAGGCTGTCTTCCTCCACAAGGAGATCCTGCTGATCAGAAACATATGGCCATCCAACCTGATTGATGTCTGCACAGCTCTTCAGAAATCCAACCACTGGCCCTCCCTCCTCAGATACCAGGCCCTCCGGAGGTGCATCTAAGAGCATGCCACAATCTTCCACACTGCAGGAGGAAGATGCATGAATAAGCTTCTGAACCTTCAAGACGAGGGAACAGACCTTGGACAGTCATGAATTTATAAAAGGTCTCTTAGAAACTAACCAGCCAACCTTCCCCTGCAACTATCTGACCTCCCATTGCCCTGGTTCAGTTCCCACAGCTTTAACAAGCAAGTCAGAAACTTCTACCCCATGTATAAAATCATAGATAACGAATCCCAGCTATACCATGCTTTCCTCCCTGGTAGGCAGCCTCTAAGATGGCTCCCGGGGATCCCACCCTCCTGGTATTCACCCTGTCTTATCATCTCTACCCCTGAGTATGGGCTGGACCCACTCACCGTGAATGAGCACCATGTGGCACAAGGGATGGCATGTCGCTTCTGAGATCAAGTTTTACAAGACTGTGGCTTCTGTCTTGGGTGCCCGCACCCACGCACTGAGGAAAGCCAGTTGCCATCTTGGGAGCTGCCTTACGGAGAGACCCATGATGTATCCACCCAGAGCCTGGGGTCTGCCAGCAGCCACTCGAGGGGACATGGATCCTCGTCCCGTCAAGCCTT